CACCTGTAATCCCAGCAGTTTGGGAGGCTGAGGTGTGTGGGTCACCTGAGGTCAGGAGTTCGAGACCAGTCTCGCCAACATGGCGAAACCCCATCTCTACTAAAAATACAAAAATTAGCTGGGCATGGTGGCAGGTGCCTGTAATCCCAGCTACTTCTCCACCTACTGTGGCAGAAGAATCGCTTGAACCCAAGAGACAGAGGTTGCAGTGACCTGAGTACACCACTGCACTCTAGCCTGGGCAACAGAGTGAAACTACATCTCAAAAAAAGAATACAAAGTTTCTGTCAAAGATAAACATCAAGACATTTCTCAAAATAAAACTGTCTCAAAAAAAAAAAAGCCGCTTTTTTTTCTTTAAAACTTTTTCTGGCCAGGCCTGATGGCTCACACCTGTAATCCCAGAACTTTGGGAGGCCAAGGTCTTGCTCTGTCACCCGGATTAGAGTGCAGTGGTCCACTAACAGCCTGCTGCATCCTTAAGCTTCCAGGCTCAAGCGAGTCTTCCAGCCCCCTTGGTAGCTGGGACTACAGGTGTGCACCCCTATGCCTGGCTATTTTTTGGTTTTTTTGTGCTTTTTTTTTTTTGAGCTGGAGTTTCACTCTTGTTGCCCAGGCTGGAGTGCAATGGCATGATATTGGCTCACTGCAATCTCTGCCTCCTGGGTTTCAGTGATTCTCCAGCCTCAGTCTTCAGCCTACCGAGTAGTTGGGATTAGAAGCGTGCGCCACCACATCCAGCTAATTTTGTATTTTTAGTAGAGACAGGGTCTCATCACGTTGGTCAGGCTGGTCTTGAACTCCTGATCTCAGATGATCCACCTGCCTTGGCCTCCCAAAGTGCTGGGATTAGGCTATGCCCTGCCTTATTTTACTTTTTACTTTAGAGACAGAATCTCGCTATGTTGCTTGTGCTGGTTTCAAACTCTTGGCCTTGAGTGATCCTCCTGCTTCAGCCTCCCGAGTCACTGAGATTATACGTGTGTGCCACCCTGCTGGCCTCCAGTGCTTCTATTTTTGCTCATATGTTTGTTTGTTCTTCCTGCATGACTGCCAACCATGTGTCCAAAGCACAGAGTTCCTCAGCAAGCTTGCTGGCTCCAGCCTGGTAACCACCTCACTGTAGTCCTTCCAAAGTGGATCCCATGCATCCTAGGCCTGAGGCTGCCCTGCCAGCCAGTGGGCTCATGGTGTCCTGACTCCCTCTGTGTAGCCATCAACTAGCCTTGGCTCACCTGCACCCCAAATGGTTGTTTCCCATGACCCTCCCAACATGGATACCATGCAACCTACACATCACATGTCCTGCTACTAGGTTGACTCCCAATGCCCTGATTCCCTCTGTACTCCCATGCACTAACCTTGGCCCACCTGCACCCTGGAGGCAAGTGCTTCCTCCTACTTGCCCACCAATTGTAAATTAGTTTTGACCTGGGCAACCCAGTGAACTTTTCCACCCTAGAAAATGTTGTGTATATTGTTTTTATGTTTTGCTTTTTAGATTTTCTTATTTTTTAATTTTTATTATATATTTATTTATTATTTTTTGAGATAGGGTCTTGCTCCGTCACCTAGGCTGGAGTGCAGTGGCACAATCATGTCTCACTACATCCTTGACCTCCTGGGTTCAAACTGTCCTCCAACCTTAGCCTCCTGAGTAACTGGGACCACAGGTGCTTACCACCCTGCCCAGCAATTAAAAGTTGTGCATCATTTCAGAGCAGTATACGAAACAATGCCTTATTTTTTCTAACAGTTTTTTTCCTTTGTAGAGACAGGGTCTCACTATGTTGCCCAGACTGGTCTTGAACTCTTGGGTTTAAGCTCTTCTCCCACCTCAGCCTCCCAAAGTACTGGGATTACAGGCATGAACCACTATGTCAGGCCTAGATTTTGTTTTCGTTTTTGTTTTTTTGAGACAGAGTTTCACTCTTGTTGCCCAGGCTGGAGTGCAGTGGCATGATCTCGGCTCACTGCAATCTCCGCCTCTCAGGTTCATGCAATTCTCCTGCCTCAGCCTCCTGAGTAGCTGGAATTACAGGCATGCACCACCACACTGGGCTAAGTTTATATTTTTAGTAGAGATGGGGTTTCTCCATGTTGGTTGGGCTGGTCTCGAACTCCCGACCTCAGGTAATCTGCCCACCTTAGCCTTCCAAAATGCCGAGATTACAGGCATGAGCCACCATGCCTGGCAGGCCTAGGCTTGGCTTTGTTTTGTTTTGTTTTGTTTTTGAGACAGGGTTTTGCTGTGTTGCCCAGGCTGGAGTGCTGTGGCACAATTTCAGCTTACTGCAACCTCAACCTCCTGGGCTCAAGCAATTCTCCCACTTCAGCCTCCCAAGTAGCTAGGACTACAGGTGCGTGTCGCCATGCCCAGCTAATTTTTGTATATTTTCTAGAGACGGGGTTTTGCCATGTTGGCCAGGCTGGTCTTGAACTCCTAAGCTCAAATGATCCACCTCCCTTAGCCTCCCAAAGTGCTGGGATTACAGGTATGAGCCACTGTGCCCAGACTTTTCTACTTGAATTTACAAAGGAATAATTAGAAGAAATCAGTATCCGGCCCAAATTGTCAACCAAGAAATCAGGCAGTTTTTTTGCTTTGTCCTTAAAGTTTTAGATGAAGAAATGCACGGGGCGCATATGAGGGGAAGAGGTGCAGAGGTTCCTCGCCGTCTCTGGCTTGCCACCCTCTTGGAACCACCCTGTATTCAGCTATCTGGAAGCTCCCATTGCTTTTTCTACTTCATATTCCCTGTGCATCGTTTCAAATCAGTATACGAACCAATGCCTTAATTTTTGCAAGTTTCTTGGTATTCCTCTGTATGGATACATCACAGGTTATTAATTCAGTCCTCTCTTGCTGGACAACTAGTTTGATCCAATGTGCTCTTCCACTACTGAGCTTTGTCTGTTGTACTTTGCCTGTTGAGGGCTGTGCTTTCAACTTAACTGTGGAGAACAGGGACTGCATTTTATTCTTGATTGTATCTCCAGCACCTGGCCCTCTCCTTGGCGTGTTGTAAAAGTAATGAACTCAATTCCATCCCACGGGGCTGCTCCTACAAGGGCCTGATCCAAAATGATTTATCAGCCAAGAAGGGTCCGCGCACCGTATCTTTGCCTCCCTCTGGTTCAGGTAGCAGGTGAATTCCTCTGGAGGCAGCTCCCTTCCCATTGATCTCCTGGATTCTCCAGGTCATCATAGAAATGTGGCCTTGGAAGACCCCTCTATTAAGGGCCACAGTCCCTCCCCATGGTCCCAACTTGGATTTTTCCTAACCCCTCCTTTAGGGGTACTCTCAGGCTACTGTGTTCTCTTGAGGACTGCGTCCCTCTCCCAGCATTGCTTCACAGAAGGAGGATGCAGTTCATTTTCTACGACTTCAAGCCTCTGGCACAGCAAGACCCCTGGGAAGCACTCACTGAAGCTTCCCAGGCCTTTCTCAGCATGAATATTTTACACCTCTGCAGTAAATTCAATTGTTAAAGCAAGGAATAGAGCCATCTGCCATGCTGTTGCACACTGGCCAGGAGTTTTGGGGGTACAAAGATGGTAGGAAAGGATTGAGCTTCTCATCTCTTGGGCCTGGTGTAAGTCTCAAGAACCAGGAGCTCGTTGTCCAAGAGCAGAAGAAGAGATGTCTGAGCTCCAGACAAGGGAGCAAATTTACTTTTTTGCCAACTTTTTGTTTTATTTAGGCTCCCTATGAGTTGGATGATGCCTAGCCTCATTAGTGAGGACAGAGTCTTACCCCGTCTACTGATTAAATGCTCATCTCTCCCAGAAATACCTGCAGGCAAACCCAGAAATAATGTTTTACCAGCCATCCGGGCAGCCCTCAGCCCAGTCAGGTTGACACCTAAAATTAACCATCACAATGCCTCATAGAAGATGCTCAATAAGTGGAGAATGAATGAATGGCCCTGGATTGATGATCCATTTGGGCTGCCCTTGAAACACCGTAGACTAGGTGGCTTAATTCTACAGAAGTTTGTTTTAATTTGTTTTCCCTCAGTTCTGGAGACTGAGCAGTCCAAACCAAGGTACTGACTGATTTCATTGCTGGTGACGGCTGTCTTCCTGGCTTGCAAATGGCCTTTTTTTTTTTTTTTTTTATTTTTTTTTATATATTTTTTTTTTTTTTTTTTGCTGTGTTCTCATGCTGAAGAGAGAGAGATTGAGAGAGCATGCTCTGGTATATCTTCTTTTTTGGGGGTGGGAAGCAGGGAGGGACAGGGTCTTGTTCTGTTACTCACACTGGAGTGTAAGTGCTATCACAGCTCACTGCAGCCTTGGATCTCCCAGGCTCAAGCCATCCACCCATCTCAACTTCCTGAGTAGCTGGTACCACAAGCATGTGCCACCACATCTGGCTAATTTTTAATTATTTGTCTATAGAGATAGGATCTTGCTATGCTGCCCAAGCTGGTCTTGAACTCCTGAGTTCGAGCATACCTCCTGCCTCAGCTTCCCAAAGTGCTGCAATTATAGGCGTGACCTACTGCACTCAGCCTCTGCCCCTTCTTATAAGGACACCAATCCCATCAAACAAGGGTCCTACTCTTATAATCTTATTTAACTTTACCTCCATAAGGGGACTATTTTCAAATATAGTCACATTGAAGGTTAGGCTTCAACATATGAATTTAAGGGGAACAGAGTTCATTCCATAGCAGGCCCCTTAACTCTCCCACTGGGCAAAGAAAATAATAATGACAATATAACCAAAAAACTGAAAGTAAATCTGTGTGCACTGAGAATCACTGTATTTCCCTTGGCCGGTCATGGGAAGCCACCAAAGAGGAGAAATCTACCAGCGTGTTTCTGTGAGCTTTGGTGGTGATTTGATTTGGACACTGTGTGGCCTTGGAAGTGGCCACAATAAGGCTCTCAGGTGAGAGGAAACACAGAAGGGAGGTAGCTTACTGCAGAATGATCCTGATCTAATAACATCTGGGTGATTATACGAGTTGCACCTCAGCTGTCTATACACTTCAGCATCAGCAGGTCTGTTCATGGCTGCCTCTGCTTTTCCAGTTGGTTGGGTATGTCTCCGGCCTGAGATGGTCACCTGTCAGAATCCTGAGTATACTGCCAGAATTCAGCGGTTTTTCTCTGTGCACCAGGAGGATGCTGCAGGAGGGCTGGGATTCTCTGAAGATACGTGTATTGCTGAAAGTAGACTTATTATGGAATCATAATTTCCTTGTACTTTTATCTAAAATTATACATGAGTCCCGCTGAAAGAGAAAATTGGCCACAAAAGGCAGTCAGAAACATTTGCACAATAATCAAATGCTTAAAAGCACATATCTTTTAATGGGTAATTCCTGCAGTAATATTAATTATTTGAAACATTTTACTGCAGAGCAGCTGTTTGTTGGAATAAGTTACTGGTGCAGAGGAAAGCAATGAGGATTGAGCCACCAGAACAGAAGGAATGCTGCCAGCCCTGAATCTTGGAGCAGGGGTCTGTCCCCAGCCAGTCAGAACTTGTTTCCTGGCTCACTGTGGAGGCTTCTAGCCTTCAGAAACCCACAGGTGAATCACAGCCGACAACTTGAAGGGATGGGGGTGGGATTCAGTAACAGAACAAGAGCTGGAGTCCAAAAGAGGCTGTGTACAGGAATTTTGCACCTTTCCTGAACTAGGAAAAAAGGCAAGAAGTAGGGAAAATGAAACAGGCAGTGGGCCTGGATGTCCTCAGGAATTCTAAGTACTGCCCTGAAGCAGAGCCTCCTGCCCACCTCTCCAGCTTCCTCTCCTACCACTGAATTTTAAGCTCCAACAACACTAGAGGACTTAGAATTCCGGCCCACACCAAGCTGTGCCTTGCTTCTGTGTCTTTGCTCAAGCTGTTCCCACTGCCTGGAATGCCTTCCCTCTCCCACTTCTCTTCAGTTGGCTGACTCCCACCTACCCCATGAAACAGCACAGGTGGCCCTCCCCCAGGAAACCTTCCCTAACCCCCAACCTCCTTAGCAGGCACAGCTTTCTGAGCACAAGGTCCACCTTGCTTTACGGTTATCTGTGGATGGACTGTCATTCCCCCTGAGGTCTGAATGCTCAAGCAGATTGTGGTGTATTCATCGGTGTATCCCAGTGCCTGGCACGTATTAGACGCTCAATATAAGTTGGTTGAATGAATGTTGATAGACAGAGACTGATGTGGGCAAAGGCCTGGCAGCAGGACTTTGCCTGGGTGAAATGCAGCAAGGCGAAAAGTCACCATTTGGGCCCAAGGTCGGAAACACAGGCTTGCTCTGGTTGCTCATCTAGACAAAGGACTTAGGTCACCAAATAACAACCATAATTTTATTATTTTTATTTAAAAATGTTATGTAATGTGAAGTAGAGATGGGGTCTTACTATGTTGTCCAGGCTTGTCTCAAACACTTGGGCTTAAGTGAGCCTTCTGCCTTGGCCTCCCAAAGTACTGGGATTACAAGCATGAGCCACGGTGCCCAGCCAAGAATAACTTTTTTTTTTTTTTTTTTGAGACAGAGTCTTGCTCTGTCACCCAGGATGGAGTGCAGTGGCGTGATCTCGGCTCACTGCAATGGTACAATCTCAGCACACTGCAACTCCTGCCTCCTGGATTCAAGTCGTTCTTGTGCCTCAGCCTCCAGAGTACCTGGAATTACAGGTACCTGTCACCATGCCTGGCTTATTTTTGTATTTTTAGTAGAGGTGGGGTTTCACCATGTTGGCCAGGCTGACCTCAAATGATATGAACTCCTGATATCAAATAATATGCCCATCTCAGCCTCCAAAGTGCTGGAATTACAGTGTGAGCCCCTGAGCCCAGCCCCAACAATAATTTTAAGAGTTTCTTTCTCTCCTTTTATCCTCAAGCAGGACATACATGACCTGAGACTCCTGTGCAGAAACAGAACCTCTAGGCTGGGCACAGTGGTGGCTGATGGAGGTGGGCAGATTGCTTGAGCTCAGGAGTTTGATACTAGCCTGGGTAACGTGGTGAAACCCCATCTTTACAACAAATATAAAAATTAGCTAGGTGTGGTGGCACATGCCTGTGGTCCCAGCTACTTGGGAGTCCAAGGCAAGAGAATCACTTGAGCCCAGGAGCCAGAGGTTGCCGTGAACTGAGACTGTGCCACTGCCCTCCAGCCTGGGTGACAGAGCAAGACCCTGTCAAAAACAAAACAAAACATAAAAACCCAGAACCTCTAGAGCAGGAAGGGATATTGGAGTTGGTCTCACTCAGGATATGTATTCAAGTGGGGAAGGTAAGACAGCAGGGTGGGGTGGTGTGGTTAAGGGATTTGCCTGGTCCTGTAGCAAGTTAATGGCAATGTTGGGACTAAATGCCAAGTCCCTGATTCCCCAGTTCCACAGTGTAGTCCCATATCACTGATTGCACAGAGCATGGAAGGAGATGAATAGAGTAACTATTACCTGGAACAAGAGACATCCATCCTACAAATGAGTGCCAGATGGGGCTGTGAAGGCAATGGAAGGAATGATAGCCTCAGGAGTTGCTGTACCTTGGGAGCTGTGGGAAAGCAGCAAATGACAGTAGACCAGCACCGCCTAACAGGAAGGTAATGCCAGCTACCTGTGCCATTTGAACGTTTCTAGTACACACATTTTTAAAAGTAGAAGGAAACAAAGTAAGTTTTCCCTCCGGTTTCCAAAGGCTTTATTAGTAAAAAATGATTGATCCTATTGCTTCCAAGTCAATGGAATGAAGCGCTGTGTCCAGGGACACAGGAAGGGTGTCAAAATGGACTGCTGCTTTGACGTCCTCTTATTCATAGATCCAGTCATAGGCACAAGACTTGTAGTCAACCAATTCTTGTTTAAGCCATTTCTTTTCTAGCCCTTTGTACCGAATCACTGCCACCAATGACGCTCTTGCCTATTTTAGTGCAGAAGTACCTGCGAATAATAGTCCCCAGCATAGATCCCACTGCATTGGCCTCCCCAGGCATCCTTGGCTCTGTCTTTGCCGCATTCAGCCCCTCCAGGATCATGGCCACAGCCGGCCCTGAGTTCATGTACTTCACTTATATTGAGTGCCTAATATGTGCCAGGCACTGGGATACACCGATGAATACACCACAATCTGCTTGAGCATTCAGACCTGAGCAGGAAAGACAGTCCATCCACAGACAACTGTAATGCAAGATGAGCCTCGTGCTCAGAAAGGCCCAGGAAGAATGGGTGGTCTTTCAGGTTAGTGTAGTGCTATTCCAGGGGTTCCTCAGAGGCCAGAAAGAACTTCATCGTCACCAGGTGGAATCCCTTCTGCTCAGAGTATTTGATGATTTCACCCACCAGGCTGTGCTGAACACCACTGGGCTTGATAATGATGCTCTCAGTGTTGGCCATGGCCTGAGGATCTGGCAGTGTCAGGTGCTATGGGAGCCGAGACCTGGAGCCAAGAAATTAGTATTAGTATTTTGAGATGGAGTTTTACTCTTGTCACTAAGGCTGGAGTGCAATGGCGCTGTCTTGGCTAACCGAACTCTGCCTCCCGGGTTCAAGTGATTCTCCTGCCTCAGCCTCCCAAGTAGCTGGGATTACAGGCATGCACCACCAAATCTGGCTAATTTTTTGTATTTTTAGTAGATTCAGGCTTTCATTATGTTGTCCAGGCTGGTCTCAAACTCCTCACCTCAGGTAATCTACCCACCGCAGTCTCCCAAAGTGCTGAGATTACAGGTGTGAGCCACCATGCCTGGCAAGAAATTATTTTTAATAATATATTTAACTCAGTATATCCAAAATGTCATTTTAATGTGATCAATATAAAAAGTTATTGATATTTTACATTTTTTCACAGTAAGTCTTTGAAACCTGATGTATATTTTACACTTTGTATATTTTTTTTTGAAGAAAGAAAGGAAGAAGGGAAGGAAGGAAAGAAAGAAAGAAAGAACGAGAAAGAAAAAAAGAAAGAGAGAAAGAAAGAAAAGAAAGAGGGAGAGAAAGAGGGAGAGAGAACAGGAGTCTTGTTCTATTGCCCAGGCTGGAATGCAGTGATGTAATCATAGCTCAGTGCAGCCTCAGACTCCTCACCTCAAGCCACCCTTCCACCTCAGGCTACCCTACCCAGTATCTGAGACTACAGGCATGTACCTCTGTGCCAGGCTAATCTAAAACAAAAATTTCATTTTCTTTTCTTTTTTTAAACTGTTTTCTAAAGTGACTATCTTGTTTTGTATTTCCACCAGAAACATATGAGTTTTGCTCCAGTTGTCCCATATATTCACCAGCATGTTGTATTATCAGTTGTTTTATTTTAGCAGTTCTAAAAGGTGTATAGTAGTGTCTTAATTTTATTTTATTTTGCACTGCCCTAATGAGCTATGAGGCTGAGTATCTTTTCTTTTTTTGTGTGTGATTATTTTAATTTAATATAAATTGAATTAAACATTTAATTTCTCAGCTGCACTAATCACGTTTCAGAGGCTCAAAGGCCACATGTAGTTAGTGGCTATCTTATTGGATGGCACAGATTATCAAACATTTCCTTTATTGCAGAAACTTCTGCTAGACAATAGGATGCCTTAGCTAAAGTCATGAGTTCTTTCACATCAGAATTCATGGCTAATCTTCAGTAGGAATAGAGGAATTTTATAAGACTATAACATTTAGTCCTAAAGCATTCAAAGTCCAGTTTTCTCATTCCATATTACAGTTGCAAATTTCTTTAGTTTTGATTTAAAAATTACCTAACCATATTTTATATCTCCCCAACTAAGCTGGAAGCCTTTTAAGAATGGGACCACTTTTTATCCAATTTGCCAGTCTGTGTCTTTTGATTGGGGCATTTAGTCCATTTATATTTAGGGTTAATATTGATGTATGTAAATTCGATACTGCCATTTAAAGCTAGCTGGCTGTTTTGCCCATTAGTTGATGCAGATTCTTCATTATGTTGATGCTCTTTACCTTTTGGGATGTTTTTAGAGTGGCTGGTACTGGTTGTTCCTTTCTATGTGTAGTGCTTCTTTCAGGAGCTCTTGTAAAGCAGG